GAGCCTAAAAACACTGGATGCAGCATCACGGCGTGCTGCCGAGTGTCTGCGCTCAGTAGGTACAGGCCAAAGCTGCATCGGTTACCATGGTGATGTGCCCCAGTCAGAAGCCAAGCGCCTTTGTAACCCCGAACACCCAGAGTTAACCCTGGGATGGGTGAACAGCTTGTCCTCTCGCCCTGACTCCGCCTCTCGTGACTCCTGTCGCCGTGACTCCTGGTCACTTTTACGTCTCGTCGATTTGTTTTCTGCAGTTTGTGGTTCTGTTTGTTTTCTTTAAGCTCAAGAATCTTTTTAACGTTTCAAATATTCTCCAGAAATTTAAAAAAACACGCTCTCGTCCTCTGCAGACACTCAGCACCTCCAGGAGTCTGAGCCGTCGACCATCAAGCAGGAGCAGCAGGAGGAGGTGTGGGTCGCTCCTCAGGCAGCAGAGGAGGATGTTAAACCATTCAAGCATGAGCTGCTTGAGGAGGAGGAGGCTCAGATGGTGGAGATAATGAAAGACGAAGCCCAGCCGAGCACTTCCTGTGAGGAGCCTGTTGCTCCTCCTCCGCATGGTGCTCCTGCTGTTGGTGAAGGCGGTGGAGGAGGTGGGACTTCCTGCAGCTGTAAAGTTTGTGGGATGAAGTTCAGCTACCGGGGCTCTCTGCTGAACCACGCCGAGACTCACGCCGCCGCCGAGTGCTGCCTCTGCAGCGTGTGCGGCGAGCCGCAGGCTGACCGGCAACGCCTGCTGGAGCACCTACGGACACACCTGAAGAGCCACGTCTGCAAGTTTTGTGGGAAAAGCTTCCAGCGGCGGGTGGAGCTGAAGGTGCACACACGCAGCCACACGGGCGAGAAGCCTTTCAGCTGCCGGCTGTGCGGGAAGCGATTCACCCGCAAGAACAACATGGAGATTCACATGAGGACGCACACTGGCGAGAAGCCGTACCACTGCACCATCTGTGGGAAGGGCTTCAACATCACCTCCTCCATGATCCGCCACGCCCGCACACACACCGGGGAGAAACCCTACAGCTGCCGCATGTGTGGGAGGAGCTTCACGGCCAGCTCGGACATGAAGATCCACATGAGGACGCACACGGGCGAGAAGCCCTACACCTGCCCCGTGTGCGGGAGGGGCTTCGCTCTCAGCACGCCACTTAAACACCATATGAAGCACCACACGGAGGAGCGGCCGTACTGCTGCAGCCACTGCAACCGCTGCTTCAGCGACATGTACACGCTGCGGCGCCACATGAAAAACCACGGTGAGAGTGCGGCGTCCTGACGGGTGGCGAGGACTGTGGGCGGAAATCACACTTCCTGTTTTTACCACAGATTGGGTGGTGGTGCTGAAGGGTGGTGCCACTCCGTGAATCAGGACTTTTTTTTTTCATTTTATAATCTGGATTATTTATCAGGCGCTGCGGGGTCGACCGCCATTCGCTGTCAGTTACGGACCAATGAGAGCCCAAAAGTGGAACGAGGTCACATGGGCTCGAGGACGCCGCAGACGCCACGGCCGTGACTTATTTCCTGTTAAAGTTCTGGAGGC